TGCCTTCAAATTAAGTTTGGAAACTTCAATAAAGAAGTCCCGGAGGAAACTGTCAATTAATGCATTTACACTGGAGCATCATACTCGGGGAAAAGCATCTTCAAACAGCAACACTGTTTTCCAGCCATTAAAAAGTTTGCGCGCTGCTTGGTTTCCATAGATACCTGAGGTAATAGCCTCCTTCCCCCATTGAAGAGAATCGCTCGCTCTTTCTGTTTTTTGAAACCTTTTTCTTCCATATTTTCCCCTCCATCTCCACGTATGAAAACAAACGATAACTAAATTGAAACCTGGCAATGAGATTAGTCTGTGAAAGATAGCTTGATGTCTAAACTCCCCGGATATCCTTTCTTCCCCTCCACACGATCTCCCGCCTTCTACAACTAGCATTGCTACCAGCGGGGAAAAGATGGAAATGTTTAAATGGATCAGATCATCTCCCCAATCTATCACTCTCAAGAACGCCCTCAAAAGAGAAACACTGACCCTCTGCTGAACAGCAACTGAGTGCAGAGCAGAGGGTGGTCATCTGAGGTTTACAGGCAACATCTGGCCCGCCATGTTTTTATAAATAAAGTTTTATTGGAACACAGCACAGTGATTTGTGTAGACGCTGTCTGTGCCAGCTTTTACAACCCCAACGGTAGGTTTCAGTAGTTGTGATAGATTGTATGGCCCACTCAGTCCAAAATATTTATGATCTGGCCCATTGCAGAAAAGCTTACTATCCCTTTGGTTTACTGGAAAGAATCGGGGTTTTGGAAACACTGTAGTTGTGTTGCTGTAGGTGAGTGTTAATCTTGCTGTGATTCAGTTTCTGCATCTGTGAAATAGGAATGAAAGCATCCATTCATTGGGCTTTGGATATAAAGCGTCTACCACTGTGCTTAGCACACAGCAGACAAACAATAAATATGAATTATTTTCACTTTGGATTCCTTTGCTAGGAAAACCCAAAGATGCCTCTCTGAGGGTTCTAAAAGTTCTCTGGGAAATCCATGCAAAGGCATAGCATTTAGTTAGCCCTTGTTCCTGGGCTCAGCACATGTCCAGTCTCTTTCCTGACAAGAGAGAGAAACTGAGTGTGGGAATCTGTCTGGGGAAGAAAAGGCAAAGAAAAGAAACCACAGAGTGTAGGAAGAAATCTTTAATTTCGATTCAGCTTTAAAGAGTTTGAGAAGTTTTTTTTTTTTTTCCCTTTAACAAACCAGTTCAAGTACATGCCTTCAGATTATAAAAGTACCTGAAATTGCCTAGAATATCAGCATGCATAGCTTGTTAGTATTTACATATATTTACATAGGGAAACAGGAGCGAGAGCTACAGTTATTTACAGTCTACACAGAGAAGAGAAAGGCAGCCTAATTGTATTTCCTAAAATACATAGATGAACAGTCAGCACATGCATATTTAGATAATATTTGCATGATAGAATGCAATCTTAAAAAAAGACATACCTTTGTAACTTTCTATGCTACGGTGTTGCATAATCAAGGTAATTTTTGTGTTTGTTTGTTTTGTTTCTAGTCTATTTGCATCAAGTGCTTTAAAATGTTCACTAACACCGAGGCAGAATTATTTACCCTGGCAATTAAAGCAACAGCACGCAGGATCATTCCGCACTAACTAGCAACAAGCTGCTGGTGGATGAAATATCTATTGTTTCTCATTACCCATCGACCACCGAGATTTCCTCGTGTAAAGGCAGTGCCTAAGCTATCACCATTAATTATGGAAGTAATATAAATGAGACACTCTCCACAGTATGTTCTAAATGAAATATTAACAAGGCCAGCGTCTTTGAGCCTGAGAAATGATCTGTTTGAGTGAGCGCCTCGATAAAAATGCACAAGCCTAACGCGGGCACGCCTGCCTTGAGACCAGGAGGCTGGACATGGGGGCCCGCCTTTGCGATCTGAATTCCTGCACAGCCCCTGCTCTTCACTTGGTTCTGCAGGACCGAGTCAGGAGCTCACTCTTCACCTTGGTGTGGCCTGGTCCCATCAGAAGGCCCCGTGGGGCACCCCTTTCACCCCCATGCCTTTTCACTTTTCACGATCTATGTGGGAGCGTATATATGGACTGATGTATAAATGAACTGTCATTTTCAGACCTAAACATCTTGTTTGGCGTTTGCCCTGAAATCCTCCATGCACAGAAAAACAGTCAGCTCTGGTTTTCTAAAAGCGCTACCGTGGGAGGCCGGCCAGCTCTGTGGGGTAATTCTGTGCAGGAGGAGGAGGGGGGAACTGTGTGTTTCACGCATACCGTGAACATTTTCTTTGCACCGTTGCATCAAAACGGAACCCACTCATTCTGCCTGGCGGTCATTTCAAAGATCTGTTTCAATCTACATGGCAAATACAGAGGCATCCATTTATATACAGTCTAGAGAGCGAGCTAGAACGGAGGTTAAAGAAGTAGAATAAAAATGTAAAATATTTCAAATGAACGTGCTGAACATCTTCTTTTATCTCTTATAATCACCCACTCGGCCGTCAACACTAGCACGGAGGCGGCCTGGTTGGGAACTTTCCGTAACGGGCCATCGAACGTGTCCCATGGAAGGATGATGCTGTTTTCATGGCCGGTGTCTGCGGCACCTCCGCTCAGCCATTTGGAGTTAACCCATGGGATGATGGCTGCCCCGACGCGGTTTCCCACCCCCTGGAAATAAACCTCCTACTTGAAGGGAACCTGTACGCTGAGCAGTGTGGCCACTCCGGGCAGCACTGAGGAAGCGCACCCCAGGGACTCTTTCAGGGACAGAAGACACAGTCAACAGCATCTTCTGTTCTTTTCTTTTTTTACAATAAAGATTTATTTTTATTTATTGATACATACAAGAACTGAGGTGTAGGCCAGAGGTGAGGAGAGTGAGAGGATTCACCAGAGACAGAGTGGGGCGCAGAACAGGCAAATTGACTGAAATACACTGCTGAGGGGAGCAGCGGGTGAGTCAGGAGGGGTCTGCTGCACCATATGGGTCACCTCCCCGGCCGGGGATCAAACTCGTGCTGCAGTGGCTGCTGATAGCTTCATAGTGCTGAGACTTTCACCCCTGTGCCACCAGCGAGGTCATCTTCTGTTACTTCCAATGAGAGCAATGCTTGGGTCGGGTCAGTTCTGAGCATCTTTGGCAGATACAACCGGACGCAGGTGGAATGAGGATGGGTAGTATGCCCAGGTAGGTCAGACTTGGCCACTCCTTCCCCTTCCCTGGCTTGGGGTCGCGCCCACCCAGCAGAACATGGCTGGAGTTTCACAACAGCCACAGGCCCGAGAAGGTGCATTGATTCTAAATATTACCCTCCGCTCCTTTGAGACCGAAGGCCGAGCTGTCCCGGAACCTTTGGAGCGTTTACAGCAAGGATTCTGGAATATGCGCTTCCTTTATTTGAGGGGAAGTCCAGAACAGTTTACAGAATTGAAAGCACAGATCCTGCAAACCCAGCAAAGTCACTCTGCGCTCGAGGGACGCTCTTTGTGTGGATGGGACTGGCTGCCGAGCCCTCCCCCAAACTTAAGGCTAAAAAAGAGAAACACGTCCTTGTGACATCCAAGGGCGCTTTCCAGCTTTAGTCCCTGGACCTACGGGTCTCCACACTTGGATTCCTGCAAATATTTCTGAGAGGAGTGAGAGCAGCATCCCTCCTGATTTTCTAGTGCATCCTATCCTGGCCTTCAAGACAGTCTCTGAAAACTCCTCCACGCTCTCACTGAAGACCAACATCTCCTCAAGGACAGCGGGGCGCTCTTTGCCATCCGGTGCGGCTTGAGGAGCCTGTTACTTGGGATGCAGAGCTACAAACGAGGAAGGCACCACATGACCTGGTGCACTGTCCCCCAAAGAGGCCTGTGGACATCTGGCCGTCACTTGGGAGCTGCAGCACCCCCGCCCCCTCATCTCTGCACACGGCATGTCCTTTGCCACCCTGGGCCGCAGTCTGTGCCGAGACCAGCCGTACCCCTGGCGGCGGCTCAGCAGCTCCCACCGCCGAGCTCCCTCACTGCTGCAGCCGTCAGCGCGCCTCAAAGCCTGTGTCCCCAACAACGATCCTTCACCTGTCGTGGGAGAGACCCCAACAGAAAGGGAACCTCTGAGGTTTTCCACACCTGTAAACCTAAAAGCAAAAAACCCCACAAAACCAAAACAACAAAAACCTGCTTCCTTCTGGCGAGAGTTTAATAACCCAGCACGGGGCCAGCTCCGCTGTGGTGGGCGCCTCCCGTCTGGAAGGTTAAGCGTCTGACTGGGGTCCACATGGGCACTCCCGAACCCGCTTTCCGACTTTGAAAGCCCCCAAAGGTCAAAACAGGTCCCCACTTGCCGGATCTTCTTCATTCCTCGCTCAGGCAGCGAGGGGAGCCCGCTTCTGAGGCGCGCCGGCCCAGCTGTGAGTTAGCGGAACTCCCCAAGGCTCCGAAGAGTCTGATTTTGCGGCCCACAGGGAGTCTGTGCAGACAGCGAAGCCTGGGTTGCTGGGAGTCTTTACAGGACCCAGTGGTTAGGAGTTTCGAGGACTAAATTTGTTAGGAATGACTTGGAGGGTGGATCATAGAGCAGAGTTTCCTCGGTGACCCTGATGTCTCCGTGCCCGGCATCGTCTCCGGGCAGGCTGGCTTCGTCCCGCACACCTGTGAATCTGTAGGTAGAGGTGGCTCAGGTGCCACCGGCTTTGATGTGCTTCAGTTCGCGCCCGGAAAAATCTATGATCCGCGAGGAGTTTCCTGAGCGGGGCGAGCGGGGCACCTGGAGGTGGCACTTGGAATCAGGCGGCCTTTTCGGTAAGGGTCGTTGGCTGTTGGACCTTCTAAGCTGGTGCTGAGTCTTCGTTTTCGCTAATCCGAGTGGATATAATTTCCATTCAGGTCACTGACTAAATCAAGCAGGGGAAAATCTCCTCTGAACATGTCTGAGGTGACGCATAACCACCCACACATTGAATGGCGGGCCCTGTCGGGGTGCCCCCCCCCCCCCCCCCCGGGGCCCAGACCCGGCCTGGCGAGAAGGCGGCGGAGACGCCTGGGAAGGAGGCTTCGGCCCGGCGGGAATAAGGGGGCAGGAGCCGGGGCGGCGAGCAAGCGTCGTGTGGCATATCTGGGAAGGCGGTTTCCAGAGCTGCGGGCCCAGCGGGCCCATCCGTGCGGTTGTGCGCTCGCTGCTTGTGTTCACCGCCCTCCTGCCCCGGGCACAGCCGCCTCTGCGGAACGGGGTGAGGGGCCGAGCCCCCGGCTCACCCAGAGCCCGGCCAGTGACTAGCTCTCAGTACGAACCAGCCGCGGGCGCCACTGGAAAAGGCCCAGTTAGCGACGACTCCTAGGGAAGCATGACGGTTTGGGGGTGCCGAGCCCTCCGCTCTCTTGTCCCCTGTCCCCCAGCCCGGTGCGCGTCTCGGCCGCCCAGCACGATCCTGCCCGTCAGCGGTTACGCGGGCCTCGCAGCGGAGCCCAGGGTGACTGCTCGCTGCGCTCACGCTCCTGGGGGGGACCTGCAGCAGGTGTGTGAGTCTAACTAGTGGAGTGTGTGGCACTGTGTTCCCCTTCCAGGGCGTTCCCGGATGTAGGGACAGGTCTTTGCTCCCGTTTGCCAAAATCAGAGACGCAAATGGTCATTGTTGTGGAGGAACGGAAGGGTCCCCAGCACCCAGGTGTGGGAGCTGAACTCCGAAACAGCGAGTTGCACTTCTCTGGAGAAATGGCAAGAAACAATCTTCTGAGGATGTTTCTGGGAGACAGGGGGTGTGGAGGCAGCCGTGCATCCCACAGCTGTGCGTCCCGTGGCAGCAGAGCCTGCCCCTCCGTCCACCAGGCTCGGTGACAGATTCCCCTGCTGCCGAGTTCAGAGCTACCCCCCGGGGGTCGCTGCTCCTGCACCCGGGGAGCATCTGCTGTGCCCACCCGCCTCCAGAGGACTGGAGAAGCTTCGCGGGTTTGAAGGGGCACCTGACTTGCCTTCCTGCCCCCCAGCTCTGTTCTCACCATTAAGTTCCTGGCACTCAGCTTGGGAATCACCGCCCACTTCTGAAAGGTGTGTTCTCCCCGCTGCCCTTGGGGCCGTATGCCCCGTCTCAAGTCCAGGACGCCTTCCCGAACTCGCTCTTCTTTCCGCATAAATGGACTGATTTAGCCTTGGGCCCATCCTGGCAGCTGCCCGTCAGGCGTCAAGCAATCTTGGAACATCTACGACTCTCAAAACCACTGACTGTGAATATTCCGTGGTAGTGTGTCTATTTTGGATGACTCATCATGAAATTACTTAAAACAGGGATCTATTCTTTAAGTCAACATGCAATATAAAACAGGGAAACCTGAAAACTCAGTGTACGTTGTGTAACATGTGCTTATTACAAAGGAAAGAACCCATGCAGGACCAGTATCCACATGCGGCTGGTTATTTTCTTTAGCCTATATTGTTGATCAGAAACCTCTGTACCTTTTTCTCTTTTTTTAAAGAGTCAATATTCATTTGTATTCTGCACTGACAGCCACAAATCGACGGCTGGCAGTTATCAAATAAATGTTGATGAGACGCGGCTACTTAACATTTTCATCCCAACAAAGGGTTGTGGAGGGATGGGTAATTTAGATCTCAGGGCCTCCAGTATAAATACACAGCAGCTGCCTTCCAAAGCCCACCTTTCTGTAGCTGAAGATTGTGCCGAAAATCTGACAAATGCTTTCTGCAAGAGAATGATGAACCCTTATCACCCAGATAGTCTTAACTGAATCCCAAACAAGAATCCTGGGTAATATACATACACCATACAGATTGATGGCACGGTTCCCCTCTGACAGCTCACAAATGTTTGACTAGATCGGAAATGGCTCTCAGGCAGGATGAAAGATTCCAGAAACCCTCAGCCTGGTGTCATCCATGAATGTGCTCATGGCCATCACTGTGGGATGGAGACGTAACACCCCAGTGACCACGGCGAGCAACTGCACGCAACCTAATGCCTTCTGATAAATTGATCTTTAAAAATCATTTAGGGGAACCCACAGCTCCAGCCAGTGTTTAGATGTCAAGGTATTGCTATTATCTGATCATGATGGATCAGGAAGCAGTGGTGGCAACCAGTAAGGCATGGCTGCAGCTATTCTGCAAGGGAATTGCTAAGATTATTTCCTTCTTTCATCTTTTCCAGTGATGTACTGTTGCCCCCAGAAAGTGGCAAGAAAGCCATCTGACGGTGATTAAAGGGCTCTTTTAAAGTTGTTTCTCTTCTGTATCAGTTTAAAATGTTTTATCTTGTCTCAGCAGTAATGGCTTATTTACTTAATGAGATTTCCCTAACGTGGCTCAGTGTTCTTCTGATGATAGGCAGACCCAAAAAGCTGATGAGCCAAGAACAAGGACTTGTTATGAAACTGTCGTCACATCTGATCATACAAACATTTCACTCCGAGGCAGCCACTGGTACCAGAAGAGAGTTCCCTGAGAAACCAAAAGGGTAGCGGGTTTGGGACAAAAAGATGTCACCCTTGGTTCTCCAGAGGGGAAAGGGAGGCAAGCGCCATGCTGGAGTGGGGATCAGAGAGGCAGAATTGGCCCAATGTGGACGGCTGATATGAAGCAAGTAGAGAAGCAGGTCTCTGCTCCGGCCCCTGTGGTCCCGTGTTTTCCCAAGGGAAGGCTCCACAGACTTGAGCCACCACATGTGATAGGACTAAGGCTGCGTATCACCCCCTTTCCCCAAGCCTAGAAGCACAGGAACCGAAGCCAGTTCTTGATCATGGTTCTCTGGATAGTAGCTAAATGTAGTTTCACATGAAATGCGGTCAATCACGGTTGCTTTCATATTCCAAGGAGGCAAAACACATGACCCCACCTTCCTCATCAACTCCATTCTGAATCAATGTAAGTGCAAAATTTCTATGCAAACATACCATTCCAGCAATGCAGGAGTGCAAGGGGACATCCTTTTAGAAGGTCTGAGTAGCAAAATGACACATAGGGTTTGTACGAATCTCACTTTTTGCTTTGCCAAGTGCCCTACATGGCCTGCTTTGACGGTGAACCAGACAGGTGACCCAGAGAAAGACCAGTTTGTTCTGTTGTGTGAACACTGGCAACAGAAACACTCTGCGGTAGGGGTGGGGCAAGCCTGGATATGGGGATGAGCTGACTGGGTTCTCTCACCTCTTGGGAGTTGATAACAAACATCTATTCCACTAGTGAGTCTTACCAAACCTTCAAAGATGAACTAGGACCTATCCTTCTAAACGCTTGCAAAAAACTGAGGAAGAAAGAGGTTCCCAAACACCTTTTATGAGGCCAATAGCACTCTGATACCAAAAGTAGACAAGGATAGCATAAAAAAAAGAAAGTTACAGACCAATATCCTTGATGAACATGGACGCATAATTCTCAACAAAATCTTAGCAAAGCTATTTCCACAATACATTAAAAGGATTACATATCATGACCAAGGGGGACTTATTCCAAGGATGCCAGGATGCCCCAACATCTGAAAACTGATCAGTGTAATTCATATATCCACAAAAGGAAAGATAAGACCCATATAATTATCTCAGGAGTTACAGAAAAAACATTTGGTAAGACTCAATGTCTATTTATGACAAAAAGCCTCAAAAAATGGAGTACTATGAACATACCTCAGCAGAATGAAGGTCATCCATGACAAACCCACAGCTAACAGCATACTCCATGGTAAAAAACTGAAAACTTTTCTTCAAAGATCAGGTGTAAGACAGGATGTCCACACTTTCACCACTATTTTTCAACATAGAATTGCACAACCTAGCTACAGCAATCAGGCAACAGAAAGACATAAAAGGAATCCAAATTGGGGAAGAAGTATGACTATAGGTATATGAATATATGTATATGAAATATAACTATATGTATATGAATGTAACAAACATAGAAAACCCTAAAAATCCACTGAAAAACTAGAAGAAAAAAAAAAAAAAACAACAGTACATTGGCAGGTTACAAAATCAAGTCAAAAAATAGATTGTGCTCCATATGCAAAGAACAAACAAGAGAATGAAAGGAAGAAAACAATTCTATTTACTACTGCATCAAAAAGAAACACCTAGGAAGAAACTTAACAAAGGAAATGAAAGGCATCCCCTGCTCATGGGTTAGAAGAATTAACATTGCTAAAGCAACCACCTTACTCAAGGCAATATACAGATTCAATGCAATTCCTATCAAATTTCAACTGCATTCTTTAAAGACATTAAACAAATATCACTGAAATTTATATATAACAGCAAAAACCCCGATAACTGAAACAATCTTGACAAAAAAGAAATGGAGGTATCTTACTCCCAAATTTCAAACTATAATACAAAGCTATAATGATTAAAAGAATATGAGATTAGAACAAAAACAGACAGACCAATGGAATAGAATTCAGGAGCCCAGGAATAAATCCACACTTTTATGGACACTTAAGCTATGACAAAGGGGCCAAGAGTGTACAGTGGAGAAAGTCTCTTTGAGAAATAGTGTTCGGAAATTGGACAGCCACGTGCAAAAGAATGAAGCTAGACCACTACTATATACAAAAAAAAAAAAAAAAATTAACTCAAAGTAGATGAGATTTGGATGTAAGACCAGAAACATAAACTACAAAGAAGAAAACAGGCAAAACACTCCACAACATTGGTGTCCCTATCTTTGGGGAGCTGACTCAAACAGCAAGGGAAATAAAAGCAAAACCAAGAAGGACCACATAAAGTTAAAAAGCTTCTGCACAACAAAAGAAACTACCATTAAAGTGAAAAGACAACTGCTGAAAGGGGGAAGTATCTGCACATTGTACATCTGCTAATGGGCTAATAGCTGAGATTTACAAAAAACATATACAATGCAACAACCACCAATAAAATTAATGGGCAGAAGAGCAAAACAGACATCCAAAGAAGACATACAAATGGCCAACATGCACAAGAAAAAATACTAATCAGCAGTTATCAAATCAAAAGTGGATCAAAACCACAATGAGATACCATCACACACCGGTAAGAATAGCCCATAAGGAAACAGCCTAAGTGCCCAAGGATGGAGGAGCAGATCAGAAACATGGAGTCTATATTTGCATGGAATACTACTCAGCTGTGAAAAAGGATGAACTCCTGCCATATGGGACAACATGGATAGAACTGGAGAGGATAATCCTAAACTAAGTAAATAATGAGAAAGACAAATACAGAATGGTCTCAGATGTTGAAGCTGGAGTAACAGAACAAAGGGTCGTCAAAATCAAACCAAAAATGAACTTTTAACATCTGACTGCAAAACTGAGGCAACCAGAGCGGGTGGGTGGCAGCCCAACAGAAGAAGGTGGAGGATGGTTGGGGCACAGGTGATAGGCAGGGTGTGGGTGTAGACATTTGGAGAGGTTTGTACCCCCAGGTACAATAATGCAAACCTACCTGACCTCAATAAACATTTGGAACAGGGGAAAAAAAGCATTTGGAAAGGAAAAAAAAAAGGCCCGTATCAAAAAGACCAAAAAAATCCAAAGCCAAGTGTTGCTGAGGCTGTGGAGAAAAACACAACACTTATTTGAAGGGAAATAGGTACTTCTGGGTTCCCTGCAGCGCTATTTACAGGAACTGGGCTAGGGAAACAACCCAAGAGCCCAGGTCAGATGAGTGGAGCAAGATGATGTGGAATACGCATGTAATGGAAGACCGCCTTGCTAAGACAAACAAAAAGATGTGAGATCATGCGACGGGAAATAAGCCAGAAAGAAGCAGCCATACCAGATGATGTCACTCACACGTGCAATACAGAGAAACAAAAGCTTAGACAAAAACAAACCCTAGAAATCTGACTGCAGAGCCGAGGCTACCAGAGGGGGTGGCGGAGAGTAGGGTGGGCACAGACCCAGCAGGTGATGGTGAGGACCACGGGTGCTTCGTGGGGGGTGTGGTCTGTTCCTCTCAATCACAGACAGTGTTGTGAACAAATATATCAATAACAATAATTTTTTTTTTAAGTAAAATGGAACTCCCAGACATCTCCAGGAAGTGATACAAACCATCGTGCATGAACTCAAGCTACATCTGGAGGCCGAGATGATATTTGACTTGAGTTAGTGGATGAGCATCTGAATTTAGAGGCCCTCTGCTTCCCTCTTCCCCACATGGGAGGTAGAGGAAGCAGATAAACTCCTCAGAATTCTTCAGATGAATGCGCCGGGTGCTAAGCTAAGGGTTATTAGGGATAACAACAGAACGGAAATCTGGACGACACGAACGTGTTTCCATTAAACTGGAAACCACACGGGTCAATTAGAAAAGCAACAACTGAGTCCAAGAAAATAACTATGCGTGGAGTGGGTGCCATGGGGGTTTGAGGGGGGCGGTAACAAACCAACTACTATTGAATTAAGTTGAAGTTCTGGACTGAGGGGAGATGTCCATACAGTCAAGCCGCCCATTATGATCAGAACCCGAGTCTCTGTCCACAGCCTCCCCCAACCGCCCCCCAACATTTCGCCTGACAAAGTTGACCATTCGGGTTTCACACAGACTCAAACATGACTGCCGACCCCAACGCGGACACGCCTGCAAACAAATGAACAATCCCCAAGTCTGTTTCACAGAACTTTCCTCAAGGGAGACTAGACCTTGAGATGCTGATTCTCAGAAGAACTTTGGTCCCCAATGGTTCTAGATGCCACGAGAGTCGCTAAACCTGGGGGGGCCGGGTCTCCACTACATACTCTGCTTGGATGAAGTTTAAAGCCTTTAGGGACAGAAAAATGGGGAGCTTTGGGAGGGGGCGCCAACACATTTCCTGCTCAGACATCCTTCCCTTTCCCCACGGCCACCTCACCCATTACCTCTTCCCAGGGCTGGAGGGTGGGGAGCCACAGGGACGCCCTCCTACAGGCCAGCTCCGCCATCTTGGTCTCTTAGAGTCTCATTCTCTGTCTCCCATTCCAGGCTGTTCTGAGCAGTAGCGGCAGCTCGGGGCAGAGAGGAGTAAAATGGGGTCAGAGGCCCTGCTTGTTATCTTGGCAACACAGAGCCTGCTCCGGAGTCTGCGCCTATTGTTGAGAGCTGCTTAAACTATGGTCTGTGCAAAGGGTTTCCAGTGACCCCACCCACCTCCAGCCTCACAGCTCCAGCTCCTCCATCTTGGGCCTCGGGTTCCAGCCAGGCCTCCTCACCTGCTGGCGCCCCTGCAGCTCTCCAGCAGCGCACGCTCCGTGCTCCCTCCAGGGCAACTGGGCTAAGCACCCCCTTATGCAGTGGAGTGCCCGGACTCTCAGGACCCCCTGATACTGCACCCTGACTCAACAAATCAACACTCGTGGGAGACACGGGGTGGGGGTGGGGGCTGCACAGCAGCCGCCCATCCCTCTGCTGGGTGCTGCTGCGCAGGGCCGCTATAAACAGTTCGCTTAAGCTTTTTCCTACCCCTTTCCGCAGGACGGCGGCTCCTCATGCCCCTGCACTGAGGTTCTCCGCTTTTCCTTCAGGGGGAGTTGACTTTGCTCTGCTCCAGCCTAGTGAGGCCACACGGAGGGCGAGACAGGGCCTTGGCCAGAGCCCCCATCTTGCGGGACTTCCTTTTCCGGCCCCTTGCACGCCCGCCCCTCCCAATCGGCGGGAATGAGTTGCAGCTGCCCGGGCTGTGATGCACGTAAACAACCGTAAGAGGCCAGGGCAACGGCATGGGTTTTAAATTAGAGCCTTGCCTACCCTGTCTCCCTGCGAACACCAGCCTATTCCCTTTAATTAGTAATTGCAGAGTGACTTCTCGCCGTCTTTACAGCACCCCTGACTGTCCCTCCGCACACACAGCCCTCGCCGCAGCACCCGGTGCTCCTCCAAAGGTGAATTGTAAGTGAGCAATTGCACTGGTGCAACGCGCATTTTGAAACAAACGGGGAGCCAATGTCTCCCCATAGCCACAGCCCCACTGCAAATACAGGACGAATATGACAATGAGGGAAAGGTTTTTGCAGGGTTGGGATGAATTCATAACTGGGCCATGTGCCCGCATGAGTCATGTATGTGGCAGGTGTGTGTGTGTGTGTGTGCGTGTGTGTTTGTGTGTGTGCTGCGAGTCCTTCTCCCAGCAGCACCTCGGCCAAAGCATCAAGGAAATGTGGCCACCAGTCGTACTTGGGCTTTCTGTCCCATGGGCCATTGCCAGAACAGTCAGTTTAATTCAGACACAAAGTTCTAGAAACATTTTGGAATCAAATGACGTGATGCACTGAGAAGTCAAGGGTTTTGGATGAATTTGTTTTTGTGTTTTTGAAACGATACCATCTTTTTCTCCCTGCTGGGAAGTGACAGCTGCCGTGATTTATTGACGAGCGTGTTTATTCTCGAAACCTTTTCCTCTATGCGATGTAACGAGTCACACCAGGTTTATGAGCAGAGTTTATGAATTCATTGTTCCAGAATGGTTGCGTCCTCCCTGTTACAGTCTGGAGCTCTGGGCCCAGCCCCCTTCGAGGTGCGGAGGTCCAGCTATCCCTGAGCTGGGTGGGGAGAGGGGCGCCCACCCCCAGATATCAGAAGCGCGTCCCCTCACGGTCTCTTTGCTTTCTTTTCTGATTCCAGCAACAGGGAGCCGCCACCACGGTCTACTGCGCTGCCGCTCCGGAACTCGAGGGCCTGGGAGGCATGTATTTCAACAACTGCTGCCGCTGCAACCCTTCAACTGAAGCTCAGAGTGAAGACACTGCCCGGGCCCTGTGGGCGCTCAGCGAGAGGCTGGTCCAAGAGGGACTAGGCAGCCAGGCCAGCTAAGGGGCGGCTGGGGCAAAGGGAGGTGGGCACACCCCCACCCCGAGTGCACACGGGCATAACTGCCAATGCTAGACCCCTTCCAACCTGCTTCCTGAGGGGGTCCGTGTCCCTCCACACCCATTTGCCAGAGTAGAGGAAATAGAGTAGTCGCAACAGCCTGAAAAAAGTTAGGTAGCAGGGGAACGTGGGAAATGCAGGCGTGACGGGACAATCTCTTTTCTGGGGGCGGTTTAGGCTTGGGTCTCTTGGCTTCTATGGTGTGGCCAGTGGACAGTGAAGTTGTAGTTGGTCTGTGGGTTCCTTGTCTCCCTGCAGAAGCACAAATGATTCTCCATCCTTGCTTTTAGGATAGTAGTGTCCCCCGTCCCACTCAGTCACCACCCCACCGCCCCACAGCCTCTCCACAGCCAGGAGCTGGCTCTCTGCAGTTTAGGGCCAAAAAACCAAGTGTTCGTCCTTCTTTGCTACGTGGATCTAAGAGATCACTATTTCATTCATCCTCACCAAGTCTGAGAGGGCTTGAAACCCACCTGGGAGAACTCTCTGGGCCTTGGAGGTGGCACTTGGCAACAGGTGGGACAGACAGAGGTAGTGGGGTCACAAATATACGGGTCCATCGACTCCCTTGCCAGAGCTATACAAAAAATTCTTTAGAGATTATAACAAACACATTTTGCAAATCATTCCCTAGATACCTTGCCAGCTGGGAAAGGAAGCGTTGCGTCCTTAAGAATATGCAGGATCTTTTGGGGGAGGGGCACAAAAAGTCATTCCCTCGTTCTTCAACGCAGTTTCTAGAAGCATCCCGACACTAGCTCACAGCCTCTCAGGCCCGCTTCAGCGTCCTGCTTAACCTTCCTCTTATCCGCCCATCCTATGCTTAATAAAAGAACATGCTTGAGTATTGTCACCTGAAGTCTGTATTGTTTCTTTCAGTTTTGGTTTTTTTGTTTTTTGTGTGTGTGTGTTTTTTTTTTTTTTTTAGAAAAGAAATCTAGAGGAAAAATAAAGCGCTTCTTGTCGACGCCAGGAAAACACCATTCTTGTTTCTTCTCTGAGTGTGTTTTGTTCTTGTGCTTTGTGGCTGTCTGTGGGCCGAGCTGCCTCACGCAATAAGCATGCCAGCTTCGTATTTTCTGTGAAAGAAACAAAGAAAGAAAAAAGTGACTATTGTTCGACTTCACCTGGAGCGGTTTGGTTATTACGTCCAGTGGGTAATTTCAGCTGCCTTCCCCATCACCAGCCCCCCTTCCAGGATCATGGTGGGGTGGGGGAGCAGCCCCACAGACAAGGAGGGGGTTTCCCACTCAGTCCTCGTCACTCACACCTCGGTTTCCAGCCCATTCCACCAGGGAGGTAAGGACACAGGCTTTTGCTGACATGCTAGAGCGGTGGGGGAGGGTGTGTGGTACTGCTGCCCCCAGCTATGTCCTGCACCCTCAGGACCCCCAAGCCTCTTTTCCGGCCACAGTGTTCCCCATTACCACTGCCTCCCTGTGGCCGGCGCCTGGCTTCAGCCTCCCATGTGGCTGTATTTCCTCCCTTACAAAGCCCTCACCATCAGAGCTCCTTTAAAACCCTGAATCAGACAAAGTCACTCTTCTGGTCCAAGTCCCCCAGTGTTTTGGGGCAATGTCTTGTCAAATCAGCTGTCATACATCTCCCCCAAGGTCCACACCGTGGGTGGGCCTCTCCCCCAGACTCTGTCCTCAGCCCAGGGCTGGCACGCTGGGCTCGTGTTCATCGCAAACCCACAGCCACCCTCACAGGTGAGCTGAGCTGATGAGAGCTGTGTGAGTGCTCCCTGAACTCACACACGGCTATAACTGCCCCCTGAGTCCACCTGGATGAGAAGAACCTGCCTCATGACCCACACAGATGCAAGAAATGAAAGGTTACATCAAGCCACCTCCTTGCGGGATGACTTGTTACGCGGCAACACTAAGTGCTACAACTGCTCGCCTTCCTGAGTCAGTCCGAGGTTCTTTTCTTTTACCACACCTAGGTGTTCTCTCCTAATCTGGTCCCCAGCTCTGAACTCATATTCTAGCACTTTCTCCTCATCCAGGCTCTACCAAGACGTTCTTCTTGTGTTCCTATAACTCCCAAGCACGCTCCCTACTCATGAAATTTGCACTTCCTGTCCCTCTGCTGACGTGCTTCCTTGCAGAGACTGGCCTGGCTCTCTCCACTGATCTCTGCTTTCTGCTCAAGCAGGATGAGGGGCATTTCTGGCATTGCATCCACAGTGGTGCCCCCACTTGTCCACCCCTCGCCCGTTGTTGTCCTCCACCAAGCTTGACACTACTGGACACACTGTGTGTCGATTTCCTACTGTCCCTCTCCACCCCAGTGAGATTTGTCTATTTTGTTCACAACTGTGGGCACCTAGCGGTGCAGTCACCTATCAGGCACTTTATTAGTAACCACTGAGGACCAGTTCCTGGTGCGCAGCCACTGCGTTCACTAAGGTAATTTGCATCATTGTCAGAGTAACTGTGAACCACACAATGTGCTGAGAATTGCATCGTTATGTGTAACATAACAGAGCCTGACAGGAGGCCCCTTATCCTTGCTGGTGTCATGGATAGAGAGACTGAGACCAGGAGGTCTCACACCTGGCCATTGTCCACACAGCCCAGAAGCGGCGGAGCTGCCATGCACACCCAGGTCTGTTCCATTTCCAAGTCATGTGGCTTCCCTGCACCCATGCCAACACTTCTGGAAATTTGACATGTCCTTCCTGCTAGGATGCACCACCTCAAATGCTCAGTCTGAGGAAAGAAAGTGGCTCCATAACTCCAGCTAAGATTGAGGCGTTGGGTGAAAATGGAAGTTAAGCTGGGGCAAAGAAAACTTTGGGGTGTTGCTAGGCAAGGTGATGCCCAAAATGTCAAAGAGAACCAAGAGAGGATCTGCTGCCTGCTTCCTTGAGCTGAGCCTCTGTCCAGTTCCCATAGGGGCCCTGGTCAGGCAGGTAAGATGCGGGAACTTGACAGGAGGAGGAAGTATCCCCCAGACTCAAGAAGCTTCCCGAGTCAGACAGACTCCATGGCGGGAATTCAAAGTTTAGGGGGCAGCAGCTTTCCTGCCAGCTTGTGATGATCCAGGTGTTTCTTTGCAAACCTTCTCCCTTTGCAAAGCAGCAGAGGCAGCTCCTCCACCTAGGGGCATGCAGCCTCTCTCTTAGCAAATCTGTCCCTGTCAGGGCAGCTTTCTGCTTGCTTGTGTCTAGGCAAGCATCCTTTACTTCCTGCCACTTTTTATAATACACCTGCCCTTTTGAATATTAAAAAAAAAAATTTAGGGTAACTTCCCCCAGAATTCATATCTTGGTTCTCTAGGAGGCTTTCCAGTGTACTTTATCAAAAGTTTCCCTGGTTCCCTGAGGATCAGCTGAGGCCCTCGACAATGGCCAGGACTCTTCTTTCCCATGGACATCCTACAGACATGCTGTTCACGCAGCTATGAACCACGTCTCTTGCCAGGCCCATTACTTTTACTTCTCTAATTTCTTGGGGAATTCCAGGTGAGCAAGTGGGTGGCATAAAGGCTTGCTCCTTTCCTGAGCTTATTTCAAGGCTGAGACAACTGCTGTCAGGACTGATGCCTGAACGTGTATAAGCAGAGGTGTCACACACACGTACTAGGGAGGGATATATACGGTGCATCTTAATTACATACCAAAGACTCTACTGAACCATCATCACTGCCACCACTGCAGATACTATTTACCAGATCTCTTCCCTGTGCCAGTTGCTGGTCCACGCAAGCCCCACCCATCTTTGTATTTGTGCTTGGAGGATGAAACTAAGGCTTATGAAGTAACCCGTCCACCTGCTGCAGGAGCTGACAAGTGGCAGGTCAGGATTTGAATCCAGGTCTATCACCGTCCAGCCCACGTGCCTTCCCCCACAGACCCAGAGACCGGAGAGCTCTGAACGTTACATTTATGTGTGCGGTGAGTTACTCACAGGGGAGACCACTTGGCTTCCTACCCAAGCCTGGGTGCAGACTCTCCCCATACCCAATGCCTGCTATAAACTTCACAAATCATCTTTGTACCTGCTGAGCATGCAGCAATACTGACTTCCTCCACCACAACCTTCTGTTTCAGTTAACTAGTTTCCCTGGGTCTTCTCTTCTCATGGACGCGTGTCCAGAGTTCTCCACTAGCGCCATGGGGTCCACCCCGAGCACGCGAGGGAGCCAGTGTCTCTGCAGTCATTTCTTTCAAGTTGCTCTCCCTCCCTACGTTTCTTTAACCCCCAAAGCGAGCCCGTTTCCTCTTTCACGGCCGATTAAGGGATCCCTTTCTGCAAATTATCAGTTGGAAACAAGAAATTGAAGCAATGACTGAAGCTGTGGCTTGTGGTTTTGCTCTTTAAAATGGGGTGATGGGTGGTTTTGTTTTGAACTTTGATGAAGGAGGCCTGATTACTTTCATTAAGGTCAGGATTAGGCCAGAAAGACAGGGCTTACAAAATGGCTTCCTGTGTTGGCCACCAGCAAGTACATTTTCTAGAAGTTGACATTTAAATAAAGCATCTAAAGCAGCAACACTCACCCGTGGGCTCACTCTTGTGCCTTTCCAAATTTCCAGACACATTTGGTTGAATGCATTTGAGGAGACCAAGGATTATCAAGCAACATCACCCCTGTGATCCCTAAAAAGATTTGGTGTCAATGACATCTTCCGGTGAGAACCTGATGCACGGACCATAATGGCAATTCTTAAAAAGAGAAAGAAAGGCTCTTCGTGCCATGGATTTAACAGGCATTTCCATCTTGTTTTTTTGCCTTTTAGTCTTTTGACCCCTACCCCTGCCTCCTGGCTCAATTTTCAGCGATTTTCAACTGCACCCAATATATCTCGCTGGTGGGCCAACATTTGGGAACTCCAAATAGGGCGTGAAGGTTATTTCTAGTGTTTGCTGTTACCCGAGTGGCTCAGTTCCCATCCCCAAGCCCAGGGCTTTCCCTTCCATCACAGAGGACCTCAGCACCCACTCGCAGGGGTGGATAAACGGGGTGCACGAGCTCTTGTTGTTCTTGCTTCCTCTTCACACGTGCTATCTGGAAGGGTTACCACCTCCGGGACCTACAGATTTCTGGCCTTTCTTTTACAACCTCATCCATGTTGAGTGTTGCCATTAAAAGTTGTTTTTTTTTTTTTTTAATTTTACTCATCATATTGTCATAATCTGTAACTATTTCTATAAACACCCCCACGCAGCCAGGCTCCTTATTTAAGGAATGAGTGTCTATCTTTCATTTTCCCATCGGATCAAGTTCCCGATTTTAATTACGGTGCGAAGTCAAGGAGAGTGAACACTCGGTTTGGGTTGAAATAAATCAGTTCAGCCCTGCGCCAGCGTCCTCACCGCACTGTTCAATCAGTGAGGGTCCACCCTTTTTCTCCTTTTCAGTCACTACGTCTAGCACTTCCTGGGCCCCCCGAATGCCCTACAAAGACCAAAACCCACAGCTAAGTCTCCTGGGTTCCTTCTGGCTTCAGTATTTCCCCTGCTAGCTGAAGGCCCGTCTGCGCGCATGAAGTGGGCCGCAGGGCTCAGAGGCTGTCTGGCTGCTACGCGGATCTGTTTACAAGGCCAAGCCCTGCCATTGGTGGGAGAGTATAAAACGTTCATTTTTCAAAACAGGTGTATGCAAATCAAGGCCGCCACCGCTCACGCAGATTAAAGAGGCTCCGTGTCTTCCTCCTGCACTTATTTGATGTTCCCAGGAGCTGGTGCTTTTACTCGGGAATCATGACAATTTCTTGCTTGGTGCCAAGGGCCCCAGATAAGAAAATCCACTTTTAAAGAGCATCCATTCCTGAGTGCTTACCCATACGTCCCATCCCAAGAAATGCTTAACTAAAATGTTCTTTTTTTGTTCATTACAATCACAGATTTGGGGCCTCCCTGGAGGCACCGTGGCTGAGCGCTGGGCTGCTGGGCTGCAAAGCTGTCCGCAGCCTCTGCAGCGCCAGTTCAATCCCCGGCCACCGGCGAGGGTCCCTCATGGCGCGCAGACCTCTCCTGCCGCCCGCTGCTCCCCTCAACAGTGTTTTTGGTCCATCTGCCTGCTCTGCTCCCCGCTCTGGCTCTGGTGAATTCTCTCACCCTCCCGC